CAATGCCAAATCCGGCGAAACAACTGGCCGCTGTGATGCAATTCTGTTGTGATGATAATAATAATAATACCTCCCCCAAAATAAGGCCAAGTGTTTATTTCAGGAGGTCAAAAGAAAATAAGACCCTGTCTTATTTTCAGGGAAGCACAATAACTCCCAACAGATCATTATATCTCCTCGTTAGGGAATAGGAGGCGAACTGCAACTTTCACTTCTTCGGAACACTGTTTACCGTTGAGAAATCGGTTTATTTGAAATGGGATCACTTTCTCAGCATCCTGCCTCTCTGCTTTGTTTACATCTTCTCAAGCTCAGGCTGCAGCCTTGCAGCACAACAGGAAACCTGAGCAAGAATAGGGGTTCGCCCATCAGCCGAGTCTTTCTATCCTTTGTCTTTGTCACGGCAAAGCTGGGCTCTCGCTTGCTCAGCCAGTTTCCCAATTAGAGCAGCCATTCCCGTGCCAGATGTTGCTTTTCCACGTGCTGTTTTTCTGGCATGGGAAAGAGTTCCTTCCAAGAATCGCTTAGCAGACAGCGGGGCTAAGAAAATACCCCCCCCCCCATCACCACAACCTTATTCTCCATTTTAAAAGGGGAAATGCATCTTATTGTCCCACTCTCAGAAAAAGTCTGATCAATGTATTTTGTATGGGGGAGGCAGTGGTGGGTTTCAAAATTTTGTAGAACCTCTTCTGTAGGTGTGGCCTGCTTTGTGGGAGTGGCTTGCCGGTCATGTGACCGGGTGGGAGTCGCTTGGCAGTCATTTGACTGGGTGAGAATGGCCAACTTGTAAAATGTGGTGAAACTCACTTAACAACGCTCTTGCTTAGCAACCAAAATGTTGGCTTAGAAACTCTGGCATTTGAAGCACTCAAGTCTTATAGTTGTCAAATTACAAGACCCTTCCACCCCTAACCCTTTAGAAGAAAAAAAACCATGGGTGTTCAAATTTGACAGCTTTAAGGCTTGTGGACTTCAACTCCCAGAATTCCTCCTCAAGTCATGTTGGCTCAGGAAATCTGGCATTGAAGTGTGCAAGTCTTAAAGCTGTCAAGTTGCAAGATCCTTGCACCCCTAGCCCTTTAGAAAAAAAAACCAGGGGTGTTCAAACTTGACAGCTTTAAGACTTGTGGACTTCAACTCCCAGAATTCCTCCTCTGGCTCTTTATCTTGATGATGTGCGGATGGGTGGGGGGGGAGGGAGCTGGAACCGGTTCTAAAGGGCAGGGTAGATTTGTGGAACCTCTTCTATAGAAGAGGTTGCAACTGGCAGGAACCCACCCCTGGGGGGGAGGGGAATTTAAATCAGAGGCGAAATATTTATTCTGTGGAATTGTGTAAATATGCCTAGAATTAAATGACCTTGTCATCCTGCAGCAGGTGACTGAATGGTGTGCGTTCTCTCTCAACAAGACTAGCTTGGTCACCAATTATAAAAATAACTGAAAGAAACAATACAGCGTTGAATTGTCCCACAGCAAGTTGGCCTGTGAAGAGTTGGCTCATGGCAAGTGGGCCACGGTGGGTTGGCCACAGTGAGTTGGCTGTGGTCAGTTGTCCTAGACCCCATTCCATACTGTTTTGATGACAACACGCAGTTGCAACTTGAGTCAAGGCCAACCTTTTGTGCAGTGGATGTAGACGAGAGGTTCAGCCTCTCTTAAAAGTTGGGCTAGAACAGGGGTCAGCAACCCATGGCTCTGGAGCCGCATGTGGCTCTTTTGTCCCTCTGCTGCGGCTCCCTGTCACTCAAAATGTGCGTCACGACAGCCAATGCGCGATACTTGCCAGCATGCGATTTATTGAGCTCTTTGACCCCAGAAGGCCAACCATGGATAAATCCAAAAAAGGAAAAGTTTCAGAAGAAAACAGAACATTTAGTTCAACTACATATGCTAGTTCTGTGGCCGCTCAGGAAATAGTCAGGCATGGGAAGGATTTTGTGGCTCCCAGTGGGTTTTTGGGGGTGGGAAACGGGTCCAAATGGCTCTTTGATTGTTTATGGTTGCCGACCCCAGGATTAGAACTTACTGTTCTCCTTTTTCTTATTGCCTGCTGCCAGGCTGGCATTTGCCCGACGTACCCGCAGTGAGAGTGAATCTTCGGTGCTGCCCAGTCTCCCTTCTTCTTTCTCTGCCCCTTCTTTCTTGAAAAGCTTGTACCAGAGCTCTGGGAAGCCGGCTTCTCCACCTGAAGGTGATCCCCCCAGGAGGTGAGAGCGCTGTTCCTGCCCGCCTGCCCGGCCGCATTTCCACCTGCCTGGCTTGCCAGAGCCTCACTGGCTGCTTAGGGCGCATCTCATGAGCACCCCTGCCTGATGCGCTTCTTTGGAGCTGCAGGCAGAGGTTCGGCTTAACGTGGCCCCACTCATCAACGCTGACGTCACTTTGGTACACATCAACATTGCCGACCACGGGGTGAGACATCGGGGGTCCCTCCTAGTGTTCATGGTTACCCAGCTTTCAAAGTCACCCTGTAAGGCTTTGTGGCTTTCTCACAGGTCTTCCTTTGTCTGCTCACTTGTCCTGGATGAGTGTGAGGGGATTTTTCAATGCTTTTGGGGTCGAAGGTCAGCACAAACAATTTGGCAGGGTTCCTAATAGTCCTCCTACAACTAATTTAAGCACATGTTGCTTCATAGCAATAACACTTGGACTTATATACCGCTTCACAATGCTTTTACAGCCCTCTCTAAGCTGTTTACAGAGTCAGAATATTGCCCCCAACAATCTGGGTCCTCATTTTACCCACCTCGGAAAGGATAGAAAGCTGAGTCAATCTTAATAGAGAAGGCACACTTTCCAGAAAAGGTGGCTCAGTGGCTAAGACGCTGAGCTTGTCGATCAGAAAGATCGGCAGTTTAGCGGTTCGAATCCCTAGCGCCACGTAATGGAGTGAGCTCCCGTTACTCCTCCCAGCTTCTGCCAACCTAGCAGTTCGAAAGCACGTAAAAATGCAAGTAGAAAAAAATAGGAGCCACCTTTGGTGGGAAGGTAGCAGCGTTCCGTGCGCCTTTGGCATTTAGTCATGCCAGTCACATGACCACGGAGACGTCTTCAGACAGCGCTGGCTCTTTGGCTTTGAAACGGAGATGAGCACCGCCCCCTAGAGTCAGGAACGACTAGCATACATGTGCGAGAGAAACCTTTACCTTAACCTTTGCAGAATTGGTAAAATTACCTGACCTTGAATAAAGCGATTTGA